TTCCGCGTTGTTTAGTGTCAGCTGTTCACTACTCTTCCTATTCTCACAATCATGCACTCAATTTTCGTGTTTAGCTCTGTTGTTCTTTTTTTTCTCAACTCTTCACTGTCTTCAGATTCTAATTGATTAGTAAGAGTCATAGTATCCAAAGTTTCGGATCGGTAACGATCTGTTTGTCATTGAAGCTGTCGATAGTTTGATAGCTTGGGTTAAGCTAGGAAATGAAATCTTGATTTTGCAGTCAGTTCTTTATGATTGTACACTCTGTCAATAAACAGGTGTGAAATTGTGTTCGACTGGCCAACGTTCTTAAGAGCATTCTGTACACTCTCGTATCAATTCAAAACAACTTTTTCGTGATTGCTTTCGAGAATGAACGAACTATAACACGAACAGTTAAAACAACATGTTGTTTATGTTGTACCCTACAAAACATGAAAACTGATTTGATTACGAAAACCAACTAACAGCACGCTGAACAATACATGCACAACCGATTGCGATCAAAATTTTTTCAAAAATGAAACTGTGAGTGGTCAAATCTCTACTGATGCCGAGATGGCTACGTTAATCAGTTTATACCGGAATCTTACTTGAGCATCACGAAGTATAGAAGGCAAGCCCGTATCCTCCATATAACCCTGTCCTCCAAAACACTCGATTCCTTCAAAAATGAGGGAAACACACTGTATACATGAAAAGCTCGTACACTACTAAAGGATACATAGCATCTTTCCAGCGTAAAGTTTGAGAACTGGGTTTATGAGTCTAAGCATGAGAGATTAAACTTGATCGGCCTTTCCACTTTCTTAATTATAAATAAACAACAATGAAAAAACCCACACCTTCCCTGTTTTTAAATCATATATAGTATAAATATATAGAAAATCATGATATAAACGTTTTTTTAAAAAAGAATAATACAATAAACAGTACTATGACACTACAATCTACAATCATTCAACTATACCGCTACCCGGATATGATTATCCGCAGTTACTTGATCACTATAAATTGTAGTTACTAAGATAACTTGAGCGTGCTAGACTTTATACCTTAATACCCCGACGGAACGATGAAGGTGTACTACGTCTCTCTTGAAGATGATGAAATTGAACAATTCGAGAAACTGTTGACTGAGCAAAGTTTTGCTTATTCCACAGAAAATGACTTCCAAGTAGTGTGTAATGTTAGTTTCTTTTTCACGAATTTATTTTGTATTTTACTTTCCAGGACAAGCAAGTCTTTTATGATGCTAAGAAGTTCATTGAGGATTCTCAATATTACTCAAGTCTTCCGATACCCAACCAGGTTCAGGCTGCAGAAAAGCTGTGGTTAAGCGTGGTATACGCACTGAAAAAAATATTTTTAAAGAAAAAAATATTTATAACCTCTCACAAGGGCACAAAAATTGGTGCAGATTTTTTGATATTGGAAGAAATTCAATGTAAGAAAAATTGTCAGGTGCTTGGAAGGTTTTCGAAACACCGAGATGTAAGTTCTTAATTTTCTTTAATATAATTTGAATATATTGTAGGTTCCATTCATTCGCGTATGGAAGAACTCTTTTCCCTATGAGCGATTTTGATGAGATGAGGAGTCATTCTATTTTTTCAGTTCGAGAAATAGAAGGTATGAATATTACCTCGGAAGAGGAAAACATTTCAAGTTTTTTAGATGAGCAAGAAATTGGAGTTTGTCATAAGAGCGTTATCATAAAGTTGGGGAAAGAAACGTTTGAATATAAGTATGTAGTTTGTTAAATATTCATTATTTATTTCTCTCCATCCTCTCCTTTTGTATTGTCAATTGAATAAATTCGTTTTCGCTTTGATCATAGTGTTCAGATGCATAGGTTTTGTTTCCTTGCTTATTGTTACTTTACTCTTCGGTTATCGACATATACTAACATCAAAGACTTGGGCTTTATCAAGTTGTGTGGTCGGGACGGTGCTCCTAACTCCGCCAGGAGCTTAGGTGAGTTAGGACTTCTAATATATTATTAATATTTTTATAGCAAGTGTCATGTCTTGTCTCTTGATGAATTCGAAGGAAGTGTGTATTTTTCTGATCAGTGTCTTCGTAATGTTCAGTATTGAATCGTGAACTATAAGAAACCAGGGATGTTTTGCATTCAAAAACTAACACCTATGTATAAGTTGTTTTCTTCAAAGTAATTTTCAACTCTCATATGCCTAGTTCACTAATGAACCCTCCAATTCATTCGACAACTTCAGCTGTTGCATATGAGACTGTATGGATGGGCTGAATTCCTCAGATAGGTGGTTAGCTTCGAGTAATTTTCCAACTTGTCTCACATACCTCCTGGTTGTTGTGAAAGCGAAACGATAGTTCTCGAAATGGTTTCGATTTGTGCACGCAGATCAGAATAGTTTGAATTCTCATACATAATTATTATGACTAAGAGAGCGANCTATGCAAAGTGTTTTTCGATTGTTCGATCGTTGAAATGCAAACTCGCAATGTTGAATGGAAAGCTGAATGAATGAAAGTGCGCCCTAATCAATCAACAACCGCGAAACGTCGGTTTTTAAACCAACCATCCTTATCTTCTATCAGATTGATGATTTCAATCTTAGAACTCATACCAACTGATCAATAACCGACGTAAGAGGGGAAGAGTGCATGATGACTGTGTAGACTGTAAGATCCATCGGTTTGTTTTTCAACACTGCCCTAATCACTTCTTGCTATGTCATCATGTTACTCCCCCTCATTTGAACAGTCAGCTTCTGAAACAACGTCCACCTCTTGAACATACCATCCACTCTCATCACTCCTCTTCAACGACTCTTCTCATAACACAGTCATGATGATCATTTACTTGCATGAGATCCTTTTTCAAATCTTTAGGGTTTTCTGATTACCAGAATTTGACAAATCATGAATCTGACTCTCACGTTTTGAGGGATCGGTTAAGGGTTTTCGCAGGGAACTATTACGAAGGTACGACCGAAGATCCTTCCTGAGTGAGTTCAAACATAGCTTTAACATGAACGAAATGTCAAGTGAGCTGTTGAAATGATCTCCCAGAAGGACACACACTACTGGAAAGGATTCATACCTGATGATTGACAATGCTTCGGAACGAGGGGAAGTGAAATTTAGAAATACTAGTTTGCTCCCGAGGAATTCTCTAGACCTGAAGGATAATATGAATGGCCACAAATGCCAGCGTCAATTGGATCTTTTCGTACAGAAATACAGCAGGAGATAGCACAGAACTAACTTCAAGCCTAGAAGGTGAAGAGTTGGGCACTCACTGCTAGCCAGGAGGTGGAACGAACATCCATAACTTCATGATACTAATTTTCTTTCCTTTTTCGAGTTGTCTATGTTAATTCAGTTAAACTTCTAGCTCTATGTTGATTCAGAATTCATTGGGTAAGGAATGACTGTTGTAAGAGGTCCGCTAGTCTCTGGACTCATACAATGGGACAAGGTTGCAAGTTTTTGGGACTTCGGACCAAGGATGAAGTACTTGTTGACTGTATCCTGCTCATTACCGACCGTTTGTAACAAAAACAGACATGGAAATAGATTTTGATTGGAGAAGATTTTTTCAGGACCTAGCAAGTATAAAAACATGGATTGTCAGTTGTGAAAGGGGAAATGAACGCACTTCACTTTCAGCCCCCAATGAATAATTTCAAAACTTAAACTCTGAAATGAGCGTTATAAAACTGGTTGTGGTGTTGACTACTTCGTCGCATCAAAGACAGAAGTGATAGCAATTCATTAGCTCAGGAGCAAACACATTGTATGGCTTGGATAGATTCAGGGAAAACTGTCTTGCTGTTTTCCTCGAACTGGTCAAGTTTCACTGCTTCTTCTACTTCATTCATTTGCACTCTTTGTGGGAAAAGCTACGTCGAGCTGGAGTCCTTTATCCTTCCATAGAAACTATGATTTCAGTTCCGTGCATCATGAGATTGTTTTCTTTCTCTCAACTTCTTCGCTTTTCAGGTCCATCTCAGCTTTTCAGATTTCACGGGTTTCCTTCCTCTATTAATGGGTTACACAAATAAACTTTAATTTCAAGACAAATACTTTATTATAACCATGAAAGTCATACAGAGTATATTCATCGATTACTAACCATTTGAAGAACTTCTCAGTCATGCCGGAACTCATTGTCCGACACAAGAAAGTTGCATCAGTGATCACCAACATCAGAAGCATTATGATGAGAAGATTTCTGATTAGAAAAATCAAAACCATGATCACATATTTTATTCTTTCGTAGGCGACTAATTCTGAAAAGTTGTGAAGCGTCAACTTACCCAACCAAGTTTCTTTCCCAATGCTCATTATGTGTTTGATAATTGGTAATTGAGTATGTTTGAAAGATAAGTTGGAGATATTTGAAGTTCTACAAAACGATTCCATTGAATTTCTGAAAATTCAAAGCTTGAATGGAGATTCCGCATTTGAAATCGAAAGCAATGCGTGGATTGAACATGATATATCATCAATATTCAATAATATTGAAAGTAGTTCATAAACCATAGAACCATATGGTAAAGCAGCATCCTTTCTATGTTCAAAACACTCTTCAAAGCCTTTTAGTACAAAAACCTTGTATCAATGAAATGAAGAAGTATGCAATCTTATAACGAACTCTTGAATTTAGTCCCGCAACGATCGCCTCGTGAGGCAGTCGAAACAAATTGCTGTTAGGTTTAGTCCACATTCTAGCCATGTGTTTGATTTTTTAATACAAATCAATGATAATACTTATATGGTTGTTAGCTTTTGTTCCCATGAAATAATTATCCAACNACTAGATCTCCTTTCAGGCTTGCCGTTTGCAATGTCTTCCGTATCATCATAAACCTTACATTTCAGTTTGTTTTCAATCTTGTCTTCAGCTGGAGTTGCTTTCCAAATATCGCTGAACTGTTCCAAATTCGTGTCATTCGTTTTCATCGTCAAAAACAAAATCTTCTCTTTGGCAGCTGAATATTTGTATTCTACAAATCATATCGTTATTCAATCGATTTTGATTGACACCTTGTTACCATTCTGGAGATGAACTCTGACTATCTCGGAGTTCTTGGCTTTTATGAATCCAGTGCTAGGTCTCACTCGGAACTTTTCGGGAGCTGTTGTTTTGATCTTGAACTGCATTCCCTCGTCTGTATTGTTTCTTACAATAATCACGTCCACGTAGTCAGTTTCTGATTCAATCTTGGACAAAGCTAACTCATCTCTCGGACTGAAATTTTCATGAGAAGTTTGGTATTTCAATCTTCCTCACCTGATTGAAATTAGTGGTGTGGTTAGCCAATCGTTTTCTCCTGCGTTCATTCTTTTCTCGATTATCGGCCTTAAAGCACTTGGAAAACCATTTCTACGTCCAGGACCTTTACTGGGTCTTCGAGGCAGTGTCAATGGAATTGCTCTTCCTGAGTCTTCATCAAACTTGACTGACTGAACATTTTTGTTTTACCATAAATGGAATCGCATCAATACTCACCCTCCTTCTCGTTGGAAATTCATCTAGATTAGGTTTCTGAATTTCTATTTCACGGAAGCCATTCAAACTGTCATTTTGTGAAATATGTGTTAACGGATTCGGCAAACAATTAGCGATATCACTCATGGTGAAAACAAAATTATCCTAAAAAAAGGAGGAAAAAAGTATAGTCGTTGAATCGAAGTTGTGTGGACTGAAAGTTCAATTGTAACAGGGCAAAAGCATATGTTGCCGGTTCCAGCAGTTAAAATGTAAGGGAATCCCGTGGTTAGTGGTCAGCGCGGCTGTTATATGGCTTCGCACTCACCCATCACAAACGGAACGTCCAAATTAATAAAAGTTGAAACTTACTGTGCCACCTTGGTGAGGTTTTAAGTATTGCGGATCCACGAAGTCAATAATACAATCTTCATTGATCAAATGAAGAGCTGGGTGACCAACTTCGATCCACGACTTCACCACCTGAAGATGATTGTAAATTTGCATAAGCCTTCAATGAGTTACTTTCCAAGGTGCGTTAAGGATTGAAGGAGATTCGTAAACAAGGATGTCCTGAACCAAGCTGGGATAATAGTATTTACATACACGTAGAATAAATTTCATAACATTGATATCCTAAAAAGGACATGAAGCCATATATGGGATTTTCCCAGAACTCACGATATGCTTCACTTTAGTCCCATACATATCAATGATAATACTTATATGGTTGTTAGCTTTTGTTCCCATGAAATAATTATCCAAC